GTTGTAGATCACCCCCATTGTCCCATCAAAAAAAAAAATTGCGTCGTCAATGCGACCGTTCGCTCTAGACCTGTCGACCTCCCACTTCCAGCTTTGCTCCCAGGATCATTTCATTAATTTGCCCCACAATGACTCTTCGTGCTTGAACCTCCAGTAGGGCAATGGCGAGTTTGCGAATCTACTCGAGAGGTCTACAATATTGTCCTGTAACAAAGCAAACCGAGGGATTTCATGTTCAGTACAGCAACGAGATGGATCAGTTTGATACTTCCTCTTTCCAACAAGTGCACAAATGAGAAGGCCTTTCCGAGCGTATACTGTCAATTCTTTTTCGGCATCGTTGAATGGGGTTGATTGACCACCACACGCTCCTGGGAGCCTACTAGAATACCAGGTATGAGCCTCACAGGCAATTTTCTCAGCCAATCATGTACTTTGAGCTAGAGGGAAAACTCAGAACTCCCAGGAGCACCCGTCTCACAATTCTGCCTGGAGTGATATCACCGCAAAGGGGTTATATATTGAGTCACTCCTTCTGGAATAAGAATTTCAACATCCTTCTGCCGTCTGTAATTAAGCAGAGTAAAGCTCTGCGTTGAGCATCTCACAATGAGTTCGGTCTTCGCACCCCTTGGCTTCCTTGGTCCACACTAACTGATCATGCTTACAGAGTCTCAGTCCTACCTTTTGCGACCCCGAACCGGTCGGTATCATAACTTTCACCACCCAGGTCACAGAGCGAAGCATCTCCACCCATCGAGAAACTCCCTAGGGCACCGAGCATACATCCGGCGCTTCCAACTTGACAGGGCTGTACCGTCGTTTGTTGTCCGCCATACATACTGCCCTGGAGAGATTGACATCGCCATGAGGTCAACCAAAGCCTAGTATGCTCAATAATGAATTACGACATCATTGTCAGCGAGAATGCTGGCGTTGGGTCCTAGAACACTCACGAACTGATTACTTCAAATCTGACTAACGGTATTATACGCAAGTTGGACGGTAATACTCTTGATTTTTTTTCCTTCGGTGACATGGAAGTGCGTTTGTTGCCGCACCTATGGGAAAGCACCAGATGCAACGGTGGAGAACCCCGATTCGTGCGTAAATACTGAGCCCCTTCGCATGCAAGCCCCCCCTCTCCTCTACTCGAAGAACGACCGGCTGGCTGATTTTATTCACCAGCAATGGTTTCTGACCAGGAGAAAAACGCAGGGTTAGCTGTGGAGAGTGAGATCTTGCCAAAAATCGTTGAAAGTAAAGAAAACGCAATATCAAGTCTGACATGGAAAGCTCGCTTTGGGACAACATCATCACAGCAAGATTTCAATTGTGGACTGATCGTTTCCCTGCTCTTTGGGTCCTGGAATTTATATTGTAAGGAAAATACACGTCAGCATCATTAAATGCCTCCGAAGGTTGGCAGTCTTTGCTCTATGACATATTCCCAGTCTTTCTTGCTTTTTCTTGCAGAAACCTGCCGAGCCTTGTCTATCCGGCACAAGTTTATCTTGTATTGCAAGCCACCGCATCCCAGATTTCTTCTACCAAATTGGGAAGTGTACGCCCCATGTAGCTTTGGATTTTTCAAAAAAATCAAAGTTCCGTATTTACAGCGTGAAGCTGTTTCCAACTCTCTCCCCAGTCCAAATCGCTAATGCCAATTTCGTCTCTCTTTAAATTTGAGTTACTGTATAGGATAACAATGCAGCAAGAAAAGCGAGGTCTCACCAGAATTTCGAGACCGTCTTTCACAACAATTCGACCGTCATGTCTTGTTCTAGTAACTTCAGGAGTTACCTACTCAACTACAATCGAACGAGAGAACCCCTGCATGATATTGTCAGGCAATTGGCTCTAAGCGCAAGCGTGTACTATGAGTTCGAAGACCAAAAGAAGCCGCATATCTGTCTACGTGCTTTGAAAATTACATTGCTTTGGCCAGAGAACGGCCGTGAATCCCCAGTCTATGGCATCAAGCTATGGCATCTCCCGATCCCGGGAGCTTACTTGCGACCGAGGTGACCATCATTGCCGTTCCAATGAGGTTTTACGCAAAGACCGGAACGTGTTTAATTGAGCAATGAACGCCCGTACTCGATGCGAAATGTGGTAATACACCGATAGTCGAAATCAAAACCGCCTCAAGTACTTCATTACTATACTGTAATTCGATATCATTTTCGCGCTTCGTCATCGCTGCTTTGGCGCGTATGGGATACACGGCATCGGTATCTCTCTCTGTAAGGTAATTACAATGTCTGAAATGGGCCAGCACAGCCACCGTTTTAATACAGGCCAGCCACAGTGGACTTTATTTTTTCGATACATGAAACAAGGTCAGTTCCGTAACATAACTGCATTATACAACGGTATTTGCCTAGGCCCTTGTCTTATTTGATATGAACTATTCAGATATATGCCAAATGACCATTTTTTAAAAAAATAATGGTTCAAGCCTACGCAGGCTTAGACACGTCTTTTTTTGCAATTGAGCTGTACTGTAATGATTATTGGCCACAAAATAAAAAGGCAACCTGATGTGATACAATTTCATTGACGCGGTTTCATATGGAGGGTATGTATCCAACAATAATCTCCAAGGTTTTTCATGCAGACTAACAGGGACAAAGTTGAATCTCGAAGCCTGGATTTGTGTTTCCTCAAATACTTGAGATCAATGATGACATTTGCTAACAGTCTGCCGATCAGACAGAATGGCACAGTGCTCTTAGTTACATTTTTGATTCCACCCTACGGCTCGTGTAATCTGACTATTCTCTTTTCAGCTAACATGGACCCGAGTCATTCGCAAAAGCACGTCAATCCGCGCGGAACAGTCAGTATACGCCCAAGTGATTACCCATCAATTCTATGAAGTACTAGCGAACAAATCTACAGCAGAGCAGTGAAGCTAAAGGTCTATTCGAAGGCTGTCTTTGCAAATGAGAATATAGAAGCCTCTTTTATAATAGGACCGGGGGCGCTGAGCGCTTTACGTCTACAGGACGGTCATAGAGCCTCTTCCCACTCTCTTCTCACTCTCTTCCCACTCCCTTCCCACTCTCTTCCCACTCTCTTCCCACTCTCTTCTCACTCTCTTCCCACTCTCTTCCCACTCTCTTCCCACTCTCTTGACATTATCTTTGCATCATTAAATCTGCGGTTGATCTTCCGGCCATGAAAGCCTATCATATGTCCTCTATTTACCGCACGCGGGATGATCTAAGGGATTGTGGAACTATTCCTGTCGAAAACTACGAAACAATAGCGGAGCGCCTAGTCATAACCTGCAAACGTCACACAGATCATAGGCGGCGCAGAAAAGGAGGGCGAGCGCCTCAAGATCTGAGGACAAAATACCAGGAGAGCAAAGCACAAAAATCATATTCCAAAGTTCTCGAGGATGACCCACATATCTTCATTCCTTTTATTATCGATATTTCACCAAGGATTTGTGAATCTTTCGACGTTTCGAAATTCTGTGAAACCCATATAGAGCGACAGGAGATTGGTTTTGATGAGAAGACAAAGTCCTTTCTTGAAGAGACTGCCCGAAGAAAAGGCATTGACGAGAGCCTCCCGTTCAAGAAGTTGATGCGTTTCCTCTTTCCTCTCAGAACGCCGCGACCAATTACTGGGGCTGAGACTCAAGACCACTATGCATATTATTTGGCGGAGCTGACATCGATTCGCAACTTTTTTGGTGACCGAATCTATGAGGCCGTTAAAACCTCGGCAACACGCATTAAAGAAAATGACCTGAATCCCGAGCGCACAACAACCGAGAGCGTCTGGACAAAAATACCGCGTGCGGATAATGAAGACGCTATCGTTCACCTCGACGTTGGAGGAGCTTTCGAGCTCGCAAGTGATTTATTCCCTCAAGCAAGCCAGATGGTCTCCTCAGCCCTCTCGACCCATCGTTTTGCGCCAGGAAGCAGTGCTTTGCAGGCTGACGCAGATCTTTCAGAAATTCCAGGCGCATTGAATGAATATGGTGAGTACATGTACGCCAGTCCGGCTCTCGGAACAATCATTTGCTGAAAACCGAAAAGATAATGCATATTTTACGTTGCACGGCGCTTCCGATTTGGCTATCTCCTCGGTCTTCAGTCAGCGAGTCAGCACCGCCATCGCGAATAGCCAGCTCAAATATTGGGAGAAACAAGTCCTACTCCTGGAAACAACGGACTGCGTTACTATGAAATTGTGGCGATCGCAGCCTCAGCATGGAGTTATCAGCTTGAGAATTGGTTTTTTTATGAGCACTTTGATGGCGAACAGTTTATATGGCTGAAGTAATATCTGGTTGTACAAAAGCAACTTTATCCCCCATTCTTATCCTTCACTCTTGTCTTCCCATTCACAATGAAGACCTGAACGTTTGCCGGGAGAGGATCCATTTCGCCTGATCCATCTGTAGACCAGATTGTCTTCCCTTTTTCATCCTGAAAATCGATATTTGCGCACTCAAAGCAATAGAGGGTCCTCTCGTATTTTTCCTTTAAGATATAATTCGCAGGATGCTGGTAACAATCATCGAAAAAGCTCGATTCAACGGTGAGGCTCTTCCATTGACTGCACTGCGTGGAATTAGACTAGCTTAAAACCTGCAGAAACGCTGAACATACCAAAGTATCCCTTGTTACGGTTGCTGTCATCCCTAGAATATCGTGTAATAGTCCAGTCTTCTTTGTTCGGTCGGCACAGCGTGAGTTGTTCGAGAGAGATTATTTGCAGGCTTCTGGGAACGTTAAGAATCCGGGCCACGAAAGGTTGAGTGGGAGAATTACCAAAGGTAGTGGTTTACTTGTTGATGTCTTGCGGAAGGCTACAAGCGGACAACATCGTCTAAATGGCAGGAGGTCGACAGGCTTGAGGGAGTGTTAGGCGTCGAAGGAAGGTCTTGCCCAACCCCACTATCTCTGGTTTCCCACTTCAACTTAGCCACGAAGTGGCTAGTTTTCCGGGTCTGTTCGAGCCATAATTACATAATCCATATTATCTCCCTTTCTTTTTCCATCCGACTCTCTTCCCACTCTCTTCCCACTCTCTTCCCACTCTCTTCCCACTCTTCTCGAAAGAACGGCATAAGGCAGCACAGGACAACGGCCTGAGGAGCCATTGAGACCTGCTTATTAATTCACAGCCAATCATATTGGTTCCGGCGAGCCTGCCTTTACTCACAGCTATTCTATGAAAACGTACTGGCTCGGCTCGATCTATCAATAGCAACTGGATTAATTCTTGAAGGCTTAGATTATCTGCATACGCTTCCATATTGGCTCGTGATAGTTGCTCGAGAATCAGCTTTGACCTATTCAGAATTCTGCCTTATCATGCTCTAATCTGCTAGAACAACGTTCCAAATCTTCGCTTTTACCCCTCTTAATAGGAGCAATTTTGTCTGATCCCATACTACAAGGAAGACGATGCATCAGCAGCCCCTGGAGCTGGTCAGCCATACCCAATGATGACGTTATAGGCTGAAACTAGCTCTCGTGCTATTCCAAATAGACAAATTTCCATCAAGACAGTATTATTTCTTTACTTTAGACATCTTTGACAACGCTGTTTTATCTACCTCACCTTCGAAGAGCTGATAAAGTCATTCATCCCGTCCCAGTTCATGTCCACTACAATATATGACAATTCCTCTACTGAGTCCTTTGGAACTCCAGCAGAGAACTACCGAAACTCTGTTCCCGCCTCAGCAGATTATTCCTCATAAGACGCGCGGTTACATCAAGCAGAGTGGAGGCGAATTCACTCATCCTCCCCCACAAGCCGCATTCCTGTGTGAAGCACACGGGCATACTATCTATCAGACCGTTGCACCTCGACCTGTTCATAGTCAGCCCGTGCCAATTGGCCTCATCTATAAGCCGAATCGCGAGTCCATGGGCACATAATTGAATCCTCGAACACCACCGGAAACCCCCCAAAAGAGCGTCAAATTATGGCGTCGAATCATCTGCGGCAGTAAGCCAACTCCTTAGCTTGACTCTCACTTTAGCGTGCTAATCAATGGACAGACTCGTGAAATCCAATTCTTGGGCAAGCACTATGGATGATCATCTCGTTGATGTGCATGTATTCATAGAGTATCTGGGTCTATTCACATGCATTCCCAGCTTCCAAATGTGTCTGAAGTTTACTGCTCGATGCATTGATGGAACAACAAAGACTATAGGGTTTGAGCTACAAAAATTATTCCAAGCACCTGAGACGGTGAGCTTTAAAAGACCCGGATTGATCCATCAGGCCCAGAGTCTGATACGTGAAGAGGATTGGAATACCCTGCGGGAGAAAAAGAGGATACTGTTAAACTGATAGGCTATACTTGAACGAAGATCAAGACAAAAAGAAATGGAAATGTACGTATTGAGATAGTTGCTTCTGTTATCTATTCCAAGACACAGTAGAAAATGCTCTACTTGATACGTTGATCTCCACCGCTAGTCTCGAGTGCTGCAAGGCGCTGTGTCCCAATTAGATAACGAGTGTTCCAAGTCTTCAAACAGGCCCGCAAAGCTGAGCCAGTGGAGGGACGGTGCATGTTCATGCCGTGCTTGTGAGTAAGAAAACATAATTGGACAAGTAAAAGGTCTACCATTAATCCCTGCTAGGACCCCTTACTATAAGACCAATATTGGAGCTGCAGGCCTTCCATCTTCTACTTCCACTCTGTGTTGTCTTTAGCTCTTCAATTTTCGCCTATATAATATGGACAGAGAGTTTGCAATCCTGCGGGAAAGCCTTCTTGTAACAGGATGCGATTACATGTGTCCAGAGTGTCTCATGCTCTTGAAGAATGTGCCAGCCATCGGAAGCCACTGTCGAGACAAAGGTGATGACACACACCGGGGACTTGGGTTGACCAAACGAAGAGACTTTCCAGAGTTCCTCCAATGCTATCAAAAAGCTGTTGGATGGAACGTGCTTCTCAGCTTGAAAGATGGACCAAGCCGCAATACCTTAGCCCCCTTTTTTTGGTCAATGAGGTCCTTTTGTGGAAGATATGTGAGTGTTTGACATTGGTTAAGGATGACCAAGGGCTCTAACAAAGTTTCAGATGTTGAGTCAAAGGCACAAGAGCCAACCGCCTAAGCCAAAAGTCCATCCTGTGAGTTCAGATCAGTAAAGCTTGTCCCTATGATTCATATGAGAGACTAGCCAGAAGACAGGCTCGGAATTCACGCCATATGACGCCACATAGAAGAAAACTGTTATACTGAGAGAATGGAAGATAGGGAATTGAATAAGATTGGACGCTGGTTGAAATATTGACATGGAGGAGTGAATGAAGAACATTATCAGGGCAACAGTGTGATTAAAGCCATGGCGGTATACGTAGCATAGGGTTCAGGCTGATCCTTTCAATTGAGTAGAAAAAAATACCTCATTGAGTGAGAATAATAGTTCCTTATGGATTGCCTAAACGATGACAGCACAATTCAACATTGCAATTGACCATTTAAATATACAAGACCCATTTCCCCTTGACCACAAAAAGTTCTACAAGCCCTAGTAGCCTGACAAACCTATCTTTAAAGCTCTTTAATGACTCCGATTTGGTCACTGTCGTGTATGTGCGATGGATGCCAATACAAACATCGTCGAGGATTTCCCAAGGTTTATCGAAGAATCGAAGAAGCTGACGAGGGAGTGGCACTCTCATGTCTGCGTTGAAGTGCCAGGTGAGAATTGCGAATATTAAGAGCGAGTCGTCGGTGAGGTCTTCCACCATTGCTTGCACATGTCGCTTCAGAATGACGTTCTGGGCTAAACTTTCCCGTCCTTTTCTGTATCCATTCTTCCTAAAAATCTGGCAATCCATAACTAGCGATTCAATGCCAGGATCAGGTCTGTGTTGCCGTCCACTTGCGGTCGCCAGGTCCAGGGTACCCAGCCACCAAATCTGCAAAGCCATCAATGATGTTTGGGCTGGTATCTTGAGGACTGCTTCGGGGATCTGTTTATTCAATCTTAGTGTGGGAACATAAGTGAAGCCATTTGCTCTTACCATATTGGTTCCATCTTTTGCCATATTAAACGTAGAGGGCGGAGGATTGAGAAGACTGAGCTGATGCATGCACAATTTAAGGGACGAACTACTTGAATAGGGATCATTCTTTGTATATTAAGGCTTTGGATTGAGAGTCATGTGCTTTGGCGAACGGATACCAGCATTACGATACCTTTCAATTGAATGGTAATTTTCATTTTTTGAATGCGCTTGTATTGAGACGGATTATTCATGCATGCTCCCATATCCGCTGCAGCGCATTGTCCTAGCAGCTAATTCACTCCACCACTCGAGTAAACATCCTTGTAGTAGTGCCCCTGACGTTCTTATAGGTTCTCACAAGTTACTCATGTGGATTCCAAATCAATAAGGGCCTCGGAACCAGCTAGCACCAGCCAGGGCCACGGTATGCAGTGCGAGTTTTCCGCGTCCATCACGGATTGAAGTCCGGCAGGTTTTGATGAGTAAGGGGGCTGAACGGCCGGTCAATTGGGCTTTCTGATGCTATGCAATACGGCTTGCCTTACTTTGAGCCTATAAAGTCTCCGTCCAATATCTTCACTGATGGTAGCTACATGAGTCATCGAAATCAACCTTTCGATTCTATTAGCAATTCTCAAGCCCAGTGTTTTCAGCCCTTCCGATCTTGGGAATAAGACTGCAATTTCAGCGAGCTTCACCGAGCGAATCCAAAGTTGCATGACTGTCAGTGAAGTCAATTGGAGGCGAAACAGTGGCAAACCACAAGTGTATTATCACTCTTGCCCCCAAGCCTTGAATGCAAGTGACCGGGAAGTTGATATTGAAGAGCTCAGTGAAATGTCGTGCCCAATAGCCCTTGTTTGACAACCTGCTAGCATATTCTTGCTCACAGGAATCAAAGTGGAGAAGCAGAAAATGCTCTTCTTGCGCCAACCTCAGATTTCCAGCCATTAGCATTGCCTCCAGTCTCTCATCATCAGCAATACAGAGCTTCCAAATCATCGCTTGCAAGCCGCATTCAGTCGTCAGAACCACAACTGTTCTACCAAACCAAAGCAGTACACACACGCAAGGAACCTTCGAGTTTCCATAGCACACTCTCAAATTTCAATACAGCTTCTGGCATTTGTTTGGCAACAGAACGCCATACTGATGATCTTGAGGTTGCCGTCCCTGATAAAACAAGGTTTAAGGGAAATGGAAAAGAAGTAAAGAGAATTTATATTGATATATTCGGCAATCAATACTGATATGTTACTTCCAGATCTACTCCAATACTTCAATGGAGGACATAAGGCTGTAATAGAGCAGGCCATGCTGGCACTCTGTCACCGAGTGCGCTCGCTAACACGACAACTCCCCCGTCGCACGCTGAAAGGGCTGTATCAAGCTGGTTTCGATAGTCTCAACACAAAAATGGGTCGAAACCTTCTTTATCAGTGGGTGGTACTCATGGGAAGCCTCGAAAGTCGCGATATTTCAAAGGAGAGCCCTGGTCGCCGAAATACGTCAGATACACACATTCTAACAACCTACTTGGGCGTGGTATGTCGTTGAAACCCGAAGCGTACCTTTACGAAGAATACAAAGAGATCAAACCAGAATTTCTCTTCATATTCTACGGGGAGCATGGCCATGCTTTCTATAATAATCTACACGCAGCGTGGAAAGAACTTGGCATTGCTGAAGAAGACTGAGAAACACTATGGTGGATTTTCTACATTCGGCGATTGATGAGGACAGACATCATACTACGTGGGTAGCCATTGTCTCAGAGCTCATATATCACAACTGGCAAGCCATCGGCCTCGATAAAAATTATGCACACTCTCAACATGCACATTCAAAATCCTTGAATTCAGACGTTCTGACTGGTATCGTGCCCCGAGAGCGAGACAAAAGAGCCGAGCCTCTGTTCTTGGATTATCAATCACAAAGACCGACTGTACCAGAGAACTGCAGCAGCCATTCTTGCTGTCGCCGAAAACGAATACATTTTGAAGACATGCGTAACACATTGAGGTCCTTGTTGTGATGTGAGGCTGGTGCGGTCTTATATTGTTGGTCAAAGCAGCTCTGATGAACTCCAACCTACCCGTTTTTCCACTGGAGCGATCAACAGATCTTTGCAACAATGCTCTCAAGGCCTCTTTTTTGATCGCACATTATGATCATGTTCATTCACACTCTGCTCTTACTAATCCATGTTTATAAGATAGCACAGGAAAATGACATGTCCAATAGTGCTTTCCTTTTTATCTTTAATTGATATCACTTTAAGTGTTAGTAATTTTATAGTAGTAATGCTACATTTTAGGATAGTTTGTAAGATCCTATGTATCATATACAGTAGCAATTTGCTTAACATGGGGTAGCTATAAAATTGTGAGATCCGCCGGCCATTACTCCAAGGAGTTACCCATTAGACCAAAGGTCATAACCAAGTCAATTCATGGAATTGACTTGGTTGCAGTGGTATATATGCTATGGTTCTCCACACACTTGGATCACAATTGGATCTTTAAATAGACCGATTCTAGGCTTATGACTAATATGAATTAACAGTTTTAACAATTTATAGGTCGACCAATGGATAGATTAAAAAAAAAATCTAATTTTTTCAACTGACTAGAATGAAAAAATTCGCCCTTTTTCCAATCCATACGGACAAAGCTAACTAAACATGACAAACATGACATACATTTGATTTAAATAGACGTCGCCATTCTAGCGGTCCGTATATTTTTCCGGGAATCCAGTACCAAGTCTACCGCCCGTGAATCCCCTCCCCTCTCTTTCTCTCATACTTGAGGATGAGTGAGAACGATTTGAGAGATGTTAAATTGCGTGTTTTTATTATCACTTGAAAAAATGGAAATGTTACAAATTGTCCATTGGAGCTTTTTGAAGCACTTCTTCAATGTAGTTGCAAAACTGTGTGTGGGCTGGCTGCATCTGGCGCCTGTTCATAAGCTTTGTCAGCCACGTCATAACTGGTCTTGAAATCAAACCGACCTTCACAGATAGCCCGAAGTGCGAAAATATAATAGAATTAATTTAAAGTGAGTAGATTTGGATTCCTAAAACCAACGGTTTAGGCTAAAAGGGTGCTAGAAAATTACGTGACTGAGTCGGGCAACTCGTTGGGGCCAAACTCCCGAGGTCCCCCTGGGATTTCCATCATCTTTGAAATCAATCATTGTGCACAATGTCTTTGAGAATCTAATTACATAGCAAGCATGGATCTCATTCCTCCATCTTACAGATCTGCAACGGACAGAGATGCTTGGATAATTATTGCCCGCTACATCCCTTCCAGTGACCTTTACGCTGCATCTTTAGTCTGCCACAGATGGCATGGTCTATTTATGCCCTTCCTCTGGGGCGACCCTGCATCTCATTTTGGTACAAATAACGATGTAGTCTACGGTAAGTAAATTTAAGAACAACAGCGATTGCTCAAAAAGCAATATCTGATCGGATCACGCAGTGGCTCTCACTCGCTTCCGAAGAACGCTCAAATACGCCCGGCAAGAGGCGCGGGCGTTGACCCATACCCTTCATCTCCCATCCGCTCTCTCTGAGCTGTATGGTGATCCACGATCGGGCTGGTTGAGGGACATTCTCGAATGCCTGCCATCTCTTCGGCGTCTGATGGTCTCGAAGTTGCCTTTCTTTGATCACAATGCAATGAGAGCGTTGAAAACCCACGATAAGCCCAGGCAGTATAATATACGGCTCTTACTGGCTGAAAGTGAGCCAAATACTACTTCTGCAGGCTTCGCACAGACTCTGCTCTTGTTTCCGGCATTGACCTACCTCGATCTTTCGTACACCACCCCGGCACGAGACCGAAATGTACTGTCTACACTAGCTCAAATGCCATTTCTCCGGGTACTTAAATTGCGTGGCATTGGGCTGAAGGACAATGACGCCGAATTTTTAGCCAATGCGATTGGACAAAGAGTATGTTGTTTGGATTTGAGAGACAACATGCTCACTGACACGGCAATTCGCTCCCTGCTACAGGAATCCTTTCTCCCGCTAAACGGAAGAGAAAAGCAGCGAAGTTCAAGGCTACCCATCGATTCGCTAGATCCCTTCTCGCACTTTGCAGCCAACGAGTCCAGCTCAGACTTCTTCAAACGGCCAGACTTGGAGGATCAGTTTATGAGGCTTCTCGCTCAGCCTGTTTTATTCCATCCATGGGTTGAAGACTTACCGCATGCGGGAATCACACATCTTTATATTTCTGGGAATCAAATTTCTATGGCAGCTGTGGTGAGTCTTTTGCTATCGTCCCGGCTACACGCTTTGGATTTCGGGACCATAAGATCCTCGGATAAGGCACGTCAGACGCATTGTTATGGGAAAGAGAATAATTCCGGAGCCGAGAAGCTAGTCCCAATCTTGGATAAGATTGCAGGGGAAAATTTGATCTATTTCCGAGCACATCATGCTGTTCTCACTGGCCAACCACCAGATAAAGACGCTGTATCCAATGATGAGTTTCATCCAGAGCTTTCGGATCAAGAGAACTTCAGGGAAGTCGAGCAATCCGAGCTGGATGCCTTCCAGCAAGTCTATGAGTTGCCCGAAAAGATAGGATCTCTACTTGAACTTGCGGATACAGCAATGACCGCTTCAACCAGCGCATGCTCAACGGTAAAAAAGCTAAAGACTTCGCAGCAGGAATTGACAGCCTATGAGGATGAGCCTGCACCGTCGGCCAGGCGTGGACCGGCTTCTGCTCCGGAGGCTGTGCAGCCCGTCTCTGTACACAATAGCGCCAATGGATGTGCGACATTTGGTACTTCCAGGGCGGACACCTGGGGTATAGAGCAGGCGGAGGGAGGTACCTTGCCGTCTACCTCAATATATTCGGACTACGACACGCTCGCGATAGATTTCTCTCTTCAGTCGACCTTGCAATGCACCTCCCCAATCTCGCTGGATGATTTTCTCACACAAGCAGTACAGGAATTATTAGCAAAGCGACCAGGCAACCAATCAATCCCTTTACATGGTGGGAAAGAAAATAGGTTCCCTTACCTACACCCATCTTGTATTCCTCACATGGAAACTTTGGTACTGACAGATGTACCCTCGCATGTGACGCCTAATTCATCAATACTGTCTGCCCTGACTCGATTCATTACTGACTGCTCAAACGAAGCATTGCTAGCAACTCTACAAGCTGGATCAGATTACACCCTCCCACCAGGGCAAGCGCGCATGCAAGCCGAGCAGCAGTGGTCACGATCTCTCTTTGGCTTGCGGCGTCTCGTTCTCGAAATCACACCTGTGGATACCTCCAAATTAACTTCATGGAAACCCGGAAATCAACATAATGCTACAGGCCATTCAAGCACTGGTGACCGTGACTCAGAGAATCTCTGGTCTGCAGCTGCTGATGACTTCAGCTTCTTTGGCGAAGAAGAGTGTGGAGTCCCTGAAAATGATACTAGCAAATACTTTCCAACGACAGGGCTCAACGAAAAGGTCTCGCATATGCCCTCTGAGGATGACTCGTTGCATTCACCTGATTCTCCCCAAGTCGGGTGTCACCTCCCACAAATTGACATAAACCCTGGTTCATCGGGGACTGCTGGACACAGAAAGCAGCGGTCCCAGGTTCCGACGATTGACCTTGTCGCAGAGCTTGCGGCTTTTCGTCGCGGCAAAAGAGCTGAGTATGAGCAAGTGGTTCGTCGTGAGAGAGGACGGCGAAGCACGCTTAGCACGAATGCTTTCGGCCTACTTATGCCCTCATCGCCCCATATTTCTTTATCACATTACGTTGAAGGTCATTGGAAGGGAGAGGTGAAGGTAGTGCGGAACCCGCCAAAGGTGCGGGCTGGAACACTAGATTTGAACGGAGACCATGTCTAGAAGGGGTACTTGTACCAATGAATTTTGAACTTAGCGATATACCCATGCTACAACTGAAAACTTCTACGTCATGCGGTCAAATTTGTAGGAATTTTTGATATTTTGAAGTCCTCATTTGGACATGAACCATCCTTCCTCCCAGTCATAACAAGCCGTCGTCAACGGGCTCACAAACATCACAATGCTAAAGAGACATCCAACCTGCCTTCATCGCACAATTGGTGCCATCTTTCTCATCCTCAGTGAAGGAGCAGGCCGGCGGTTTCGGGACCGAGCATCACCCCTGCGATCCGGTCGAGAAGAACACCAATGCGAAGAGTGAAGACAAAATAAAAGAATTCATTTCAAACTAGTTCCATTTTATTTTGTTCGTCGTGCGACATTCATCTCCTTACAAAGCCTTGGCGGCAGTAGGGGGCTGGAGCTTCTTGCCGTCCTTGTTGAAGCGAATACGGGGAGGGGGAGCACGGTTGCGGCGGCCTTCGCGGGAACGAACACTATTGGCGAGCAATTAGCATATGGAAGGCGATTAGGTACTGAAGAAGAATCGGCAAAAACGTACCGGACAATCTTGCCGTGAATGGCGCAGGACACACAGTACTGGAGCTTCAGGTACATCTTGGGGACAGAGTACTCAGCGAAGACGGAAGCCTCGGAGATGTCACCTGCAAAACGGTAATCGTTAGTTGAACTGATTCGTCTTGAAATTCCTCGGATGGGTCGCAGCCATAGATCTGCGATCTTGTCGTAGATTCGAGGTTTCGGGAAAATTGTCACGTACGGATGGCAGCGGACTCGACCATGTTGCGGATGGTGAAGCGCTTGATGGCCTTGTCCTTGGGGGTGCAGCGAGCGCAGTTGGAGCAACGCACAGGCTTGACGTGGCCGCGGCCATTCTTGTTGCGGCCGCTATCAAATCAATTAGTCACCGTGCCCCTGAAGTTGCGAATCAATCGAAATCCAGTCTCCCATTCTTCTTGTCCGGCAATGTGCGTAGGTCGCAATTTTCGATGTTTTTGAAGATGGATGTCGTGTGCGCTTCCGTCGGCGTCATTGCGGAGATGTCGAATGGGATACTGCTTCACCGAGATGGGGGGATTTGTTGGTCTTACTTGTTCGCCCTCTTCTTGACCATTTTGACGGTTTGTTCTGTGGATGGTTAGGTATTGGCCTGTGAGGGAAGGGGGGGAGATAGCGTACGGTTAACTTGTCGGGAGTGGGTTGTCGAAGCTCGCTCACACAAAGTCTCTTTCGGGATGGATTGGATTCCGTTGTGCGGGTAGCCCTAAGCCCTTAAGCGAGATGGGTCACGGGGCTGGTGCCTCAAATCTCAGGCGGTGAGATCTCGGAATCACTTTGATCACGTGAAAAGAGTCACAAGCAGTGTTTCCACCTAATTTGGCCTAGCGCCCGGATTATACCGTGTCGCTGATTGTTACGGCTCCTGATCTCCGACCATCGAAAGAAACACCCCTGTTGGGTTCGACCATTGAACTGCCCATTCTTCTCCCTCCCAGAAATCCTCCTTGCGTTTCCTCCCATACCAGTCTCCCAACTTGACGTCCTTGTTTTTTTTTGTGTCATCTCCCTTCAATTCCCTCCATTTTTTGAGAATTTCCCCTTTCGGCACTATCATGTCTGCCATAGGTACTTTTCGGGGAAAGCCCAATCAGACCGTCGGGAGAGGAAGGCTGCCCGACTTTGGAAATGATCCCAACGCTTCCCATATCCCCCGACCCAGGCCAGAATCTTCAGCCGCAAACAACGCACCCTCTAGCGAAGTTGGAAGCGGCACAATGAGCGCCGCAAGTAGCAGACAGCGACAGAACCAGTCGAAACGTGATGAGGTACGTCATGGCAGCCCGAGGGAGTGATCTCCTGGCGCTCAATTTGATATTTGAGCTTTGGCATTTGACTAACCTCCACACAAGGCTATCCGCCGCAAAATGGAGGCCGACCTCAGCAAAAAGAGGAACACCCCGGCAAAATCGAGGAGCTCCCGCAAAGCTCCTCCCGGCACCGTGCTCGCCCTGAAGCCTAGCCAGGCCCTCCAGATCAAGCCCGCTATGAGCATCGCAGAGGCCGCTCAGCTTATGGCCGCGAAGAGAGAGGACTGTGTGTTGGTCACCGACGATAATGAGCGCATCGCGGGAATTTTCACTGCCAAGGATCTGGCGTTTCGAGTCGTGGGAATGGGCCTGAAGGCGCGAGAGGTCTCCGTCGCTGAGATCATGACCAAGAACCCGTTGTGCGCGAGGACAGACACCAGCGCTACCGACGCGCTCGATCTTATGGTGCGGAAGGGATTCAGACATTTGCCGGTCATGGATGAGAATCAGGATATCTCTGGTGTTTTGGATATTACCAAGTGCTTCTATGATGCTATGGAAAAGTTGGAACGCGCATATAGTTCGTCTCGCAAACTCTACGATGCGCTGGAGGGTGTGCAGACGGAGCTTGGCTCTAGTCAGCCCCAGCAAGTCATTCAATATGTGGAGGCATTGCGATCGAAGATGTCCGGCCCTACCCTTGAGACCGTCCTAGATGGCTTGCCGCCGGTCACTGTTTCGGTCCGCACAACTGTCAAGGATGCTGCGGCTCTGATGAAAGAAAACCACACTACTGCTCTGCTGGTCCAGGACCAAGGCTCGATCACTGGTATCTTTACTAGCAAGGACATTGTTCTCCGTGTTATTGCTCCTGGCCTTGACCCTTCCACTTGCAGCGTTGTCCGTGTTATGACTCCTCACCCCGATTTCGCCCCGTCAGATATGAGCATACAAGCTGCGCTTCGCAAGATGCACGGTCAGTTATTTCAAAGTCAGCAATTAAAACTAAAACCCAAAGTATGCTAACTCTGCAACAGACGGTCACTATCTTAACCTACCCGTGATGAACGAGGGCGGTGAAATTGTCGGCATGGTAGATGTGTTAAAGCTCACCTATGCCACTCTTGAACAGGTATGTTTGATAGTAACAGGTCTGACATACAAACATTTCGACTAATGTACTCAGATCAATAACATGTCAACCCAAGATGAGGAGGGTCCCGCATGGAACAAATTTTGGTTATCAATGGATCACGAGTCAGACTCTATGGTCTCTGGCGGCCACAGCCAGCAACCGAATACCCGCTCAGTTGTGAGCCCCGACCTCACTCGCTCAGGCTACGACAACAGTCTTCTTCCTACAGACTCGGCATCACACCACGGTGATGAGCATTCCGAGGTTGTTTCTCAGCATTTCCCAGCAGAACCAGCTGCTCCTACTCCATTCCCCTTCAAGTTCAAAGCCCCTGGTGGCAGAGTGCACCGTGTGAACGTCCTTTCTATCAATGGTGTTACTGACCTTGTAGCGCAAGTCACAGCGAAACTTGGCAAGGAAGTTGAGGCTGTTGGTGGCGAGGCTACCGTTGAGGAGGGCTGCCTGAGCAACACTGGATATGCGCTCAGCTACCTGGATAACGAAGGTGATACTGTCTCCATCACCACGGATCAAGACATGGCGGATGCCATCGATTTGGCCCGCCGTACCTACCGCGACAAGGTCATTCTGTTTGTCCACGACCCCACCCAGCCACCTATCCCTGCTGCGGCTGAACCCCATCATGTTAAGATTGTTACTCCTAGCGAAGAGCAAAGCGTTGCTGAAGAACCCGCATCACAAGAATCCCCCGTGAGCAAGGCCATTCCCCAGCAGCAAGCCATACCCTCTCGCGCGCCAAACGAGCATTTGATTGCCGGTGTCCCCAATGATTTGCTGCTTCCCGGTGCTATCGTCACACTGGCTGCTGTTATTGCGGGTGTATTCATTCTCGGCCGCTCCAGTGGCCGGTGAAAATTTTTGGCCTTTGATCCGTTCCCAAAACCCTCTTTTTCTCTCCAAATGCTTCCCTTTGACTCGTTCGACTTCAAAGTCAAGCACCCTGAGAAAGCGTAGTAGATTCTTTTCCTGTCCGCAGTGTTGCATACCCGTTTTGTTTTAATATCGATATTCCGTGTCGCGTTCTGATACCGCTGTTCGTGTGAGCAGTTGCGGCCTTAGTTTAGCCTTCAATGCAAATAATTGTTAAAGATAGACTGGGATCCGACGATTCCATTTATCCATTACCGTGGTAGCCTACAGAGTAACTAAATCTTTGACCGGATCAATAACGTTTGAGAACGTTCATAGTTGTCTCTGTTCGACTTTAATTGGCCTTGAGGCCTGGAACTACCGTATTTGGTTTAGCGTCCAGATGCGATCATCATCACTATAGACTCTGTAGGTTGTCCTTGAATTTTTCGTACATTAAAAATGCAGATTCTGTCAAAAATAAATCAGATCTGAAGATCTCGACATCCTTAATTGAATATAGGTTCCTCTAGTTGTGTGTGTATAGAGCGGCACTTCCATTCTTCAATCCCAAGGGCCTATCCATCTATCGTTCTCCTAATCAGAAATTCTTCTTTTTTCCCTCTCTCCCCGCCCCACCAAAAAACAAAACTCCTCGCCTTCATCCCACCCCTCTATCCCCACCAAATCACTTCTACGAGGGTTGAAAGAACTGGGTTGCTTGGATCGTCTGGAATTTGGGAACAGACACGCCCAACATGTCCCTCCTACCTCCCGAAATCCACACCGCGCTTTCTCAGCTGCTCCGCGCCTTGAGCACGCCCGACAATGTCGTCAGATCCCAGGCGGAAGACCAGCTTAACAATGACTGGGTTCAGAACCGACCAGATGTCCTTTTGATGGGATTGGCGGAGCAGCTTGCGGGTGCAGAGGACATAATAGTAAGTTGCACTGGACTCTAGGGGTGCGGTTGCTTGAAAGGAGTGGTGTTGCAAACCACCGACGATCGAACCAACAGTCGAATTTCACTTTGATTTGGGATAAAAGCTAATGGGAAACTTCTGTTGACAGACACGTGCTTTCTCCGCCGTGCTTTTCCGAAGAATTGCAACAAAAACCCGAAAGGATCCCGCCACAGGTGACAACAAGGAGATTTTTTCGAGCCTCCCCAACGAGCAGCGAATCGCCATTCGTGAGAAATTAGTGGTAAGCCTGACCAGTGAAACTGTTACCGATGTACGCAAGAAGATTGGAGACACACTGGCCGAGGTTGCTCGTCAATACACCGACAATGGTATGCGATTCGAACTACCCTTGACGAAATAAGGACTGTTGGTTCTGACGATTTCACCTGTGATTTTTAGACGAACAGTGGCCTGAACTCCTCGGTGTTCTCTTCCAGGCAAGTCAGAGCCCGGACTCGGGCCTGCGGGAAACCGCATACCGTGTGTTCACGACCACCCCCGGTATCATTGAGAAGCAGCACGAAGACGCTGTCGTGGAGGTTTTTACGAAGGGTTTCAAGGACGATAACATTTCCGTATGTCGACATCTGGCTATGCATTTCGAACTCAATTTTGACCATTTCATCAGGTGCGGATTTCCGCTATGGAAGCCTTCGCTTCGTTGTTCCGTTCGATCTCCAAAAAGTCCCAGCCCAAGTTCTTCGGCCTCATGCCAGATCTTCTCAACATTCTTCCTCCTCTCAAGGAGTCCTCTGAGAGCGAGGAGCTGTCCTCGGCACTGCTCGCCCTGGTCGAATTAGCTGAAATCTGCCCGAAAATGTTCAAGGCCATGTTCAACAACCTGGTTAAGTTCAGCGTCAGTGTCATTGGCGACAAGGAGCTCAGTGACCAGGTGCGCCAGAACGCACTGGAATTGATGGCTACCTTTGCCGATTACGCCCCGAACATGTGCAAAAAAGAGCCGGAGTTCGCACAGGAAATGGTCACACAGTGTCTGAGTCTGATGACTGATGTCGGTGCGGATGACGATGATGCGGAGGAATGGAACGCGTCTGAAGATGTAAGCGTTTGCATTTCTGACATTTTAATTGGCATGTTACTGACTAGTCACAGCTTGAGCCTGAAGAGAACGACCTCAATCACATCGCCGGTGAGCAGTGCATGGATCGTCTCGCCAACAAATTGGGTGGACAAGCCATCCTCCAACCCGCATTCTCTTGGATTCCTCGCATGATGTCTTCTACCAACTGGCGCGACCGCCATGCTGCTTTGATGGCCATCTCCGCCATCTCCGAAGGTTGTCGCGACCTGATGGTCGGTGAGCTGGACCAAGTTCTAGCACTTGTTGTTCCTGCCCTCCAGGACGCTCACCCCCGAGTCCGCTATGCAGGCTGCAACGCTCTTGGTCAAATGAGTACCGACTTTGCCGGTACCATGCAGGAGAAGTACCACGAAATCGTCCTCACTAACATCATTCCCGTTCTCGCTTCTACCGAGCCGCGTGTGCAGTCCCACGCTGCCGCCGCTCTCGTCAACTTCTGTGAGGAGGCTGAGCGCAGCACCTTGGAACCATACCTTGGAAACCTTCTCAGTCATCTCCTGGATCTTTTGCGCAGCCCTAAGCGTTATCTGCAAGAGCAGGCGTTGTCCACCATTGCCACCATTGCCGATTCCGCCGAGGCCGCTTTCGATCAGTATTATACCACTCTAATGCCTCTCTTGCTCAATGTCCTCAAGGAGGAACAGGGTAAGGAGTACCGCCTTCTTCGTGCCAAGGCCATGGAGTGTGCTACTCTCATCGCACTCGCCGTAGGCAAGGAGAAGATGGGTCAAGACGCCCTGAACCTTGTGCAGATTCTCGGCCACATTCAGCAAAATATCGTCGACGCCGACGACCCACAGTCACAGTACCTCCTTCATTGCTGGGGCCGCATGTGCCGCGTTTTAGGCCAAGACTTCGTGCCTTATCTCCCCGGTGTTATGCCGCCTCTTCTGACCGTGGCTGCCGCCAAGGCCGATATTCAGCTGCTGGATGACGAGGATCAGATTGAACAGGTTGAGCAGGATGATGGCTGGGAGCTGGTGCCGCTCAAGGGTAAGATTATAGGTATCAAGACCAGTGCTCTTGAAGACAAGAACACTGCTATCGAATTGATCACGATTTACGCCCAAATTCTCGAGGAAAACTTCGAGGCTTACGTCCTGGAAACAATGGAGAAAATTGCGGTCCCTGGTCTTGCCTTTTTCTTCCACGACCCCGTTCGAGTATCAGCTGCTAAGCTGATCCCTCAACTGCTGAACTCCTACAAGAAGGCACACGGTGGCCAGTCACCGGGCTTCGCCGAAATGTGGAACAAGGTTGCAGAGAAGATCATCGAGGTTCTGAGCGCAGAGCCGACAGTTGACACGCTGGCTGAGATGTACCAGTGCTTCTACGAATCAGTAGAGGTGGTTGGCAGAAACTCCCTCACCCCCCAGCACTTGCAGGCGTTCATTGAATCGGCGAAGTCGACCCTCGAAGACTACCAGATGCGCGTGAAGCAACGTCTGGAGGAGCAGGCCGAGCTCGAAGATGGTGACGAGGAGAACCTAGACTTTGAGTACGCCGTGGAGGATGACCAAAACCTATTGAGTGACATGAACAAGGCGTTCCACACCATCTTTAAGAACCAGGGCAACTCGTTCTTGCCAACCTGGCAGCAATTGATTCCATTCTACGACGCTTTTATCACAAGCCAAGACCCAACACAACGACAGTGGGCTCTTTGCATCATGGATGACGTGCTTGAATTCTGTGGCGAAGAGTCGTGGGCGTTCAAGGACCATATTATGCAGCCTTTGGCTTCCGGTCTGCGAGATGAGAACGCCGCTAACCGTCAGGCAGCGGCGTACGGAGTGGGTGTGGCTGCGCAGAAGGGTGGTGCCGCCTGGAGCGACTTTGTGGCAGCCAGCCTCCCCAGCTTGTTCCAGGTTACACAGCATGCGCAATCCCGCACAGAAGAGAATGTGTTCGCGACCGAGAATGCATCTGCCAGTATTGCCAAGATTCTGCACTACAACCCTTCCAAGGTTCAAGCTCCCCAGGATGTTGTGGCTAACTGGATCGAGACATTGCCCATTACCTACGACGAGGAGGCTGCTCCCTATGCCTATTCCTTTATTGCACAGTTGATTGACCAGTATGTTGTCTTGATCAACCTCCCTCATCCTCATACTAATGTTTTACTACCAGGCAAAACCCGGCTGTCTTTGCCAAAGCTGACCGTGTCTTTGGTTTCATCGTGCAGGCGCTTGAGGCGGCTACCCTACAGGGCCAGACTGCTGCCCGGGTGGCCACATCTGCCAAACAGCTGGTGGTAGTGACTGGCGCAAATGCCGACCAAATTCTGGCTTCTGTGGACCCGGCCAGCCAGGAAAGAGTGCGCAAGTTCTTCCAATAAAGCTCAACCCTTTTGTTTTATATCCGGCAGGGCTTTTTTCCCTTTTTTTTTGTTTCCCGAATCATTCCCCTCAGTCATGTGAAATCTGAAGTTACCCGAATCCCCCTCCCCCCCGACACGTTTTTTTAATTCTTAGCTCCTACGTATGAATGCCATGAGCCTTAGACGTTGGATTCCACAATGTGCGCGATTTTCATGTAGAACTAATGTCGGTCTTGGTGAACTAGTTGGTTAACTATGTGGCCAGCTGTTATATAGTAACAAGCGAAGTCAAATTATTTACGACTTCGATACCCTCTGGATCTCATTCGCAACCACATCCTCCAGTCCCATCACCTTCGGCTCCTCAATCAATCCATTAGCCCGCTTCGTATACAGCGTCCCGCCTTCACCCCAGATCCGACGCAAAGTCAACACAGTAGCCGCCGGGTTCCCAGCCTCCCACGCCGCAGCCTCCGCCTCGCGCAAATTCTTCAGCGATGTACGCGACACATCCCACGGCTGGCCGTCAAGCTGGCGCTCAAACTCCGCCTGAATCTGGTCAGGGCTCGTGGTAAACGAGTTAACACACAAGGCAGCGTTGCGTGTCTCAGCCGTAGCATGAAGCAGAGTGTTCAGGACCAGAGTCCCAACACTAGCGGAATAGTCAGCCAATAGTCCCATCCATACTAACGAAATAAAAACACAAAAAAGAAGAAGGAAAGGAAACGAACTCCTTCATCGTCGTCAAGCTAACCTCTCCCTTCCCCTTCTCGCCCAACAAAACAGCCCTCCGCCCTTTAACATCCCACCCGCCAGCCTCCTCCCACCCAGGCACGAGATGAAGATACATCTCCGCAAATGGGCCAGTGACTACATAAGAATAAGCGAGGTCGTCGCGTGAGATCTCATTCTCAAGATATGCGCGCACTGTCAGCTTCAGCTGATGCGGCTTCTCGTTCGCCGAAGCCGGCCCGTATCTAATATCTGTGCCGTACTCAGAGGGTAGGAACCATTTCACAGTGGGACTCGCGGCTGCAAGTCTGATAAGAGGAATCTGTTGGGCCAGGGTGTTGCGGCCTAGGGCTGAAATCACAGTGTCGATTCCTGTTCGGCTTAGCGGTTAGCCTGTGCGTCGTTGATTTGGGCGAATGTTAAGTCATTATGCATGGGACAACGGGGTTTCGTACCCTCATATGCTCCTTTCACTGCATTCTCATCTTCAATATTGCCCACAATCACTTCTACGGCTTGCTCTTTCAGCTTGTTGTACCTTTGGTTTCCGCTGTTTGCGGGGAAGTGAAGATGACGACGCGGCCGAATCGAGAGCGCTCGGATAGGATAGCGTCCAGGATGAATGAGCCGATATTCCCTGTTGCGCCAAATAGAAGAATTTTCTTGGCGAAAGACATTGCTGTATAGTTTTGCTGTGAGAATTTGAGAATTTCTCGACCGTGTGCCCTTAAAGAGATGGCGCAAACGTATGTATGCCTAACGTGAAATGTGGGGTGCTCAAGTGTGGGGGTCCTGCTTATAAATTAATTGGGAGAGGCCTCCAAGGTCTATATTCAATCATCAGTCTAGTTCAACGGAGTGAAATGAGAGACAAGCTTCTTATGTTGCATTGGGAGTGGAATTGCTAGGATATCTATAGGTTTGTGCCGCAGATATATAGATCGTTGCGATCACCAAACCCAATTGAAATTGGAAACTAGAAACTTGAACATAGTTGAATCAATGTCAAAATATCTACTCACTTGCCAAGAGGTTTTTAGGGACTTTTCCCACGACAGAATCGCGAAACCAATCATGATAAGATGAGCCCTCCCTAACCCACTCCTTCCGATGTAAACTCCTCGAAAATGATATCTAGACTATCTCACTGGGTCCTTTCCAGTTCATTTTCATTTATGTGCTTTAATAAATGGGTGGTGAGCGAATGTAGATGCTGCTTATGCAAGTATGATACTAGTTATGAAGCTGCTCTATTGGGATTTTGCTTTGGATAGAGAAGATTTTGGAGGGAACACGACTTGGGCGAATGAGAAGCACCACTGTGGGGAATTAAACGGAAGCTGGGGATTTGATGGGTATTGAAAAGGTCGGATTGTGAAAGAACAATGGAATCAAATCATATCTTCGTCTCATCCCGCTGAACGTTCCAACTACCATCTCCGAGATTTCCAGTACCTAAGACTTCTCCTTCAATGGCACTAGGTCTTATCTTGCACCAACTGTCATGTAGAATATTCTCCGCCAGTCCATCCAGTTGTTCCCGCACTACTTTGACATCGCTCAAGGACCGAAGCACTCCTAATTTGCGGATGATGGCATCCAAAATATCGCCCCAGTCAAATGCTTGCCAGGCTCCAGAGGGGGCATGTAGCACCTCTAACACGACCGAATCTTGAAACAGAAAATGGCGCTCGCTAGTTTGTTTTTCGCGGTTGGCATTGTGCTAGTTTATTCCATCGGTATTTTTGCGCCAATGATCCTGAGCAGATCAAAGATATACGAGAAGCCTGGAACGTGCCACTGAGATAGCGTGATATAGTTGCGGAGTTGGGGGAGAGGCTATGCCGTGGGAATGAAGTGGGCGCTCACGGCCTTTAAAGGCTGGTCCAACTGTTTCCTCTGACCTAATAGCATGGTTATAGGCAGTCAGTGAGGTGGAGATAAGGCTAAAAGAAGAAAAAAGCAAATTACAGTTAACCTTGGGAATGTCCAAGTATAACATCGAACGTCATACAAGAAAGTGCGTGTGGGGCTGTGGGGCTCTAAATTTATGGTTCGATTTATGCTTAAGCACAAGTTGTCTCATGTTTTTGTTCTGGACACAGAACTGCTCAAATCTTATCCATTTAGTTGTTTTTTCATGTACAGCATATGGACAACCATGGGTTGAGTTCTCCTGTCTGATGACTTGCTGGTGTGACTGATAGGAACAGGTCATTTAGCATCCAACGAGCCCATGTACCCCCCCTTCCATTGTATACTTGCACGACCCAACCCCCGGTGTCGTCGCATTTTCCTTTGGGTATAAAACCACGTTTTCGAAATCGATATTATAGCACGGGTGCACATTTGAGCATGAAACAGATGCCACCTTCATCGAAGTGCTCTCAATATAGCCCGTAAAATTGACAAATGCGACATCGGAAATACTCATCAAACTGGTGCCCGAATACGAGCCATTGTTTCCACTGTCCTGTGTGATAGCAGGTCCAGCATTGGCTCCATGGATTTCAAAGTTTGACAGCGACACATTCCGAATGCTGCCCCAGCCACCCCCGCAAGCGAGTCCAGCACTCTCATACGAGCTCTGTGGTACAAGTGCACCGACCCACGTTTTGATATACGCACTGTTGTGCATGTCCTCGTTGTATCGGATCACCTTGACCTGGTCAATACGGATATTAGCCACACTGGAGTTCTCCTGATATTGGCCCAGACTGCCTATAGCAATCCCATTTCCACCTCGACAGGTGACATTGTGGATATCGATATTGTACGATCGTGGTTTGATCGCCACACAGTCATCGCCGCCTTGGTATATGAAATTACTTAATTGGATATTCTGCGCATCCATCGTATCTATCGACAGTGTTAGTCAATGGCGAGGAAACCGGAGTGATGGACATACCAAATCCGTCTGTATTCTGGACCCAATTCTCGCCGTATGGTGCATCCACCGCAGTCGCATTGCAGTAGATATTATTGAAGCGCATGTTGGTTCCGTTCATAATATTTATGCTCCACAACTGAGGATCTTTGACATGGAAATTTTCCACACTGACCTCTGATACATTCCAAAATACAAACGGCATCGGTCTGCCGGGCTGCGTGTCGCCTTTCTCGGCTGTGTACCATGAATTCCCATTGCCATCAATACCACCAGTACCGTGTCCGTCGATCGTGATATTGTGGCCTGTGATAATGAATCCAGCAGCGTGGTTTTGAAAGGCAACTGGGTACGAATTCTTGCGCCAGTAATCCAGGTCATCAGAGAACTAGCCCAGATTAGTTGCATTATCATTGGCTCTAGTGACAGCCCACTTACTGTCCATTTCCCGCGCCATTCAATTGCTATATTATTTACAACGGGATTCAATCGAGTACCGATCCAGTAGGCTTGGTCCTCTGGAAAGATGATCGTACCACCATTGCCACACCGGTGGAAGGCTTCCAGCAGGTTAGGAACATCATCTTTCTGGTTTCCATTGGCTTTCACAGTGCAGACATTTGAGCTGCGTTCTTCATTTGCACATACAACAATTGACAGTGCCAGCCCTAAGGGCAGGGCCAGGGAAGGAGTACCGAATAATCGCATGGTGACCTCGGACTCAACAACTAGACTTGACTGTCTAACTTTCCATTTTTGAAGTAAAGAACACTGTCTTTTATCCCCCGGTGATAGCACTCTGCACCCTCCTTGGATATTGCGTGTTACACTCGGTGGTCTTTACACCGAGTAGACATCGCGGAGAAAATCGGCTGCGGGGAAAAGACTCTAGTTTGCAGCAAAAAAGTTGACTTTCTAAGCTTTTCTGATTATTTTTAACGTCGATCTTTGCACAAATCCTGTAATGATCAGCATCGTTGCGTTGATTCTTCCACCTATCGCGAAAATGCAATAATGAAGCTCCCCCCAATTCCACCGTTGCACAGCTTGACCATCACCGTCTATAGTATTCTCTATCATCAATATTCTTCAGGTTTTTTTTCAAATTTTTTTTTTTCATTTTGTTCAAAACACAGATTTTTCTCTTCCCATTCAGCTACCAATGTCACAGCTATACTGGCACAGCATCGTATTGATTCTTTGGTCTTTCTTCTCGCTATCGGTTGCAGACACTTGTTGGCGTAATACCACTTGCTCTGGGCCAACCGACACTGCGTTCAGCGGGCCATGGGAAAAGAACATATATGCACCGGCTTCACGAACAGTACGACCAACCTCAACCTTATCAGAGTTGAAAACCAACGCTGTCGCGGACTCCTCGCGTCCATACAAAGCAACATTACACGGCAACGGATCACTAATTGTATTTGACTTCAGTATTGAAGTAGGTGGCATCGTCCATATAGACTACACCTCCACCGGCAGTGGAGCGCTAGGGCTGGCATTTACAGAAGCCAAAAATTGGATTGGAGAGTGGTCGGACTCGTCAAGCGCTCTGTATCATGACGGCGCGTTGTATGCAAATATTTCGTCAGCTGAGAAGGGCACATATGTCATGCCAGACCAATACTTGCGGGGTGGATTCCGGTATCTGACGGTCTTCTTGGTCACAGATGATTTGGCCAGTGTTCATATTGACAATTTGAGCTTAGAGCTTGCGTTTAAGCCCACCTGGGCTAATCTCCGAGCTTATCAGGGATACTTTCACTGCAGTGATGAGCTTTTGAATCGTATCTGGTATAGCGGGGCATATACTCTGCAGACGAATGAAGTCCCTGTGAATACTGGTCGTGTTACAAAGGGTATCACATCTGGCTGGGTGAACAATGGAACTCTTGGCCTGGGAGACACAATCATTGTAGATGGCGCAAAGCGAGATCGTGCAGTTTGGCCTGGTGATATGGGCATTGCCATTACTTCGGCTTTTGTGAGTCTGGGAGACTTGGAAAGTGTCAAAAACGCTTTGCAGATTATGTACAATACCCAGGTGAGTTCTACTGTCCTTTTCCCCTTTGGGTATAGATCTGACCAGGCTGGAAATTATAGAACAGAACAACTGGCGCATTTGATGAGTCAGGACCACCGTTGAGTCAGAAGGACTCGGACACATATCACATGTGGTCTATGATCGGCACCTATAAATATGTGCTTTATACCAATGACACTGACTTCTTGTTGGCGAATTGGGATGGTTATCAGCATGCCATGGAATATATATATGGAAAGGTGACTTATCCCAGCGGGCTTTTGAACGTTACAGGCACACGAGACTGGGCGAGATGGCAGCAAGGCTATAACAATTCGGAAGCACAGATGATGTATGCTGTAAATCCACTGTGCAGAAGCATCTCCAGCTAACGTATTCTAGTCTCTACCAGACCCTTCAAACAGGAGCATCTCTCTCTCTGTGGGCTGGAGACTCCACTAATCTCTCAAGCATCTGGAGCTCTCAGGCCGCCAATCTCAAGAAAGCCATCAACACTTATTGCTGGGACGAGTCACATGGCGCCTTTAAGGACAACGCAACTGAGACATCTTTACATCCACAAGATGCTAATAGCATGGCAGTTGTGTTTGGTATTGTAAACGAAGAGCGCACAACCCGCGTTTCAGAAAAGCTTCTCAAGAACTGGACACCCATAGGGGCCGTGGCTCCTGAGTTGCCCGAGAACATTGCCTCGTTCATATCCTCTTTCGAGATCCAAAGTCACTTCATTGCCCACGAGCCTGCCCGCGCATTGGAACTCATTCGTCGCAGCTGGGGTTGGTATATCAACAACCCGAATGGCACAGAGAGCACCATGATTGAGGGCTATCTACAGAACGGGACTTTCGGGTACCGGATGGACCGTGGGTATGGCTATGATCCATCATACGTTTCACATGCGCATGGCTGGTCCTCCGGTCCGACCTCAGCGTTGACAGAGTATGTTGTTGGTCTCTCTGTGGTCTCCCCATTAGGATTAACGTGGAAAATCGTGCCACAATTTGGAGATCTGGAGTTTGCCGAGGCTGGCTTTATCACCTCTCTTGGAAAATTCAAGGCATCTTGGGCTTTGAATTCAAATGGATATGTGTTGGCTTTCTCGGTTCCAAAGGGTACTGTTGGGAATGTCACTTTGCCATATGTCACCGCGTCGAAGAAGCCTTCGATTACCATTGATGGTGACGAGTTGATGATAGAAGTGGCTTACGTCGATGGTACTGCCACTTTTGAAGTAACTGGTGGCTCTCACGAGGTAGTTGTCAAATAAGCATTATCCAAGGGCCAGATCTCGTCGATGGAATTTCTAGATCTCAAGGTGCATACACCGCCGTTCTCTATAGACAATTGGTCATTTAACTAGCCACCATCAAGCTGTGTCTAATCTCACATAGAATATGGAGAACGCTAACATTATCAACAAAAAAAAAAAGAGCTATCTCATTCCATCAAAGTCATCTGTTGACAGATGACGATGTGGATGATGCCATATCACGTGAATCTCCACACTCCATCTCCGTCACCCGCCAATCCTGCCCTCGAGATTCCTCATCAAACGAACCAAGCTCAAAATGGCCTCCACTCTCCGCCAGAACCCATGGCGGGCCTACCAAAGCCTCACCCGCCAACAAATTCGCACAACACGCCTCTCCTCCCGGCATCTTTCTACCTCCTCCCTCCGCTCCAATGCAACCAATAACCCTCTCCGCTCCCGAGCATCGGCAGCGGCGGATCTCCAGCACGCCTCCCAAGCTCAGCGGAGAATGATCCTCTCCGCAGCTGGCATAATAACTTGCGCAGTCGGTCTCTACGGCGTCATCAAGCTAGACCTATTCGGACTTGACGAACTAGACACCACAAAAGATAACAAGACCACATCCGTACCCCCGAAGAATGGCGCAATGCGCATGGACGGACCAGTCGGTTTCCCCAGCGGCGGCCCATCATTAATAACCATTCAGGGGCAAGACAAACTCGAGCAAGTGCCAACAGGAACAAGCACAATCCCCCACTTCCCAAGCACAATCCGACTCCCCACATCCGAAGCTACAGAAGGCAAGCAAACCGGCGACGATCTAGCCCCGTCCACTGGAGAAGAATACCAACTACTAGGCCTCGGTATTCGCACCGTCTCCTTCCTCTCAGTCCAAGTCTACGTGGTCGGCCTGTACATTGCGAAATCCGACATAACCGAGCTACAACGGCGCCTGCTGCACACAGCAATCCACCCGCCCACTCCCGGCGCCGATGCCGACGCCGCCATTTCTGGCGTTGGCGCGAACGCCGCTACCTCCCTCGTCTCGCCGGAGCGCCAGCAGCTCAAGGAACTTCTCCTTGACGCGGAGCGCGGCGACGCCGCCTGGTCTGCTATCATCAAGGATAACGGTATTCGCACTGCATTCCGCATCGTGCCCACCCGCAACACCGACTTTATGCATTTGCGCGACGGCTGGGTGCGTGGCATTACTGCGCGCGCGCAGGCGAAGAAGGCTGCAGAGCCCGGCGAGTTCCAGGATGAAAGCTTTGGAAGTTCGATGAATGATTTCAAGGCTGTTTTCGGTGCTGGGAAGGGGAAGTCGGTGCCGAAGGGACAAACGCTTGTTTTGATGCGGGATGCACATGGCGTTTTGGATGCGCTTTTCCAGCCCGGGGCTGATAAGCCGGTTAAGTGGATGGGGCGCGTTGCTGATGAGCGCATTAGTCGGCTTGTCTGGTTGAATTATCTGGCTGGCAAGACTGTTGCGAGTGAGGGGGCCCGGACGAGTATTGTCGAAGGGCTGATGTCGATTGTTGAGAGGCCACTCGGAACCGTTGTGCAGAAGGTTATCTGATTTAATCTCTTGGGCTGAGGTTTTGGTTTTGGTTTTGTTTGTATTAACATACCTGTACGTTAGTCGCCGTTCACTTTTCTACCCCCCCTGTTGGCTCTACAAAACATTCCCCAGAGCTATCTGACAATGTTCCGTCCTACTCAATACACTTTTCACGCTGGAAAATGGTAGGGCTCTCTTGGTCCCCCCCAAGTCCAAGCCATGGAAAGAAATAATCCCATTGCACAGGTTTACTAGACCTAAGAAACGTTTAACTGGTAGATGGAAGGTCAAGGCTATGCAATGATAAGCTGTTCTCTAGTGTAGTTTGTTTTCGGGACTAAAGCCTCGGGACATTCTTGCTTTGGTGACAACACCGCTTAGATTGCACCCGCGGCCTTGAGTAGATCCTTCAGGTCCTTCCTACCCTGGAGGTCGGAGTTGCCGCCGATGTGCTTCTTGTTGATGAAGATGTTGGGCACAGTGCGCTGGCTTGAGATCTCGGCAAGAGCGCTCTGGATAGCAGCTCCCTCCTCTGTGATAAAACTCACATTAGCGATTGAAAAAAAAAAAAGGTTGAGATGAAAGATGGATCAGAAATCATATTTAATTGCTCCGATTGGACAGAATCAAAGAAGCAATGCGAAAAGCAAAAGAGAAAGACTCACCCTCCAGATCCAGCTCGAGAGTGGTGTACTTCGCGTTCAGGCTGTCAAGCAATTTCTTGGAAGAGTCACAGTAAGGACAGTATGACTTGGAGAAAACGACGACGGCATTGTCGTTAATGAGAGACTGAGCACGGGTCTTTGCGGCGGACATGGTAGCGGGATTTGGGCCGGCGAAGGAGCCGAAAAGACGGGTGAAGATGGACGAAATGGTGGGCGGTTTGTGAAGAAAGGGCAAGAGGCAATGTCTCCTTTTATAGGCTGTTCGGGGCGGGGTACAGACAAAAAGTTGAGAGGATTGGTTGGCTATTCCGTCAAAATTGCGGGATTGATTGCGGCGATGATGTCAGGTGATATTTGTCAGCTGGAAAGCTCTCATCGAGACCCTTTGTATCTTTTGTTTGGGGTAATGTTGAGATGGCTATCTATGATCTGTATAGTTTTTAGATGTCTACACATAACAGCTTGATAAACTAGCCAGCCGGTTGGCACGGCATCTACATGCTTGTAAGTACAAGCAGCAATTCTATGCAAATACGTATTCATCCATTCAATCTGATATCTGCATCTGGCATTCAACGTACGGGCAAACTCTAGGATCTGACTGCTCTCGCCAGCGGGTAGAGCAGATCAAAGAAGGAGGAGGAAAGATCGCTAGCGAGAAGGATTGGGAATATGGAAAAAAGAGGCTTTCAAGATGTGTCAGAGAGAAATCCAAAGATTGGAGAAAAAAGAAAGAGAACCATAGGGCCACGAAAGTCACAGGCAGATATAGGGATGAGAAGGACGAGTGCACGCCACAAGTTATGTTTCTTGCAAGGTGTGAGACCCTCGTTCCAATCCCATCCACAATCTTGAGCAAGCGTTTTAAACTTCCCTCTTACCACCTTGGTAGGAATAGCATAGATCACAATCAAAAAAAAAGAGGGGCAGTGACAAGGAATGGATGCGCGGAAGAAAAACAAGAATGGTCATGCTCTAATATCGAAGAAGGAAGCTGGATTAGGTAGCAGCCTGAAGAAAATTGAACTCAAGGTGAAGAAATGCCCTAAATCGCAGGATATAAAGTCACAGAACAGAACACCATCCCGCCGGAGACGCTGGAAATAAATTAAAAGGAGAGAGATAAGGGAATCAAGCAAAAATGCAAAGATCAAAGCCTTGTTGGGGAAACGGACGAGAGATTGGACAGATGATTGTAGAGTAGGAGGACATCACATCACAATGCAGCATCCACTCTTCTCTTTCTTCGGTGGCTGCTGCGCAGTGACAACTGGAGGGCTCCAGTTAGGGTTGGGGTTTGGTGGCAGCCCCATTGGGGGGGTGTCCTGCACCTTGGGCATGGTGCTGTAGCCGGTACTCGTGTTTGGACGGGGTGGTTCTGGGCTCTTGGACGACTGAGGGGGCAACTCTTCCAGCTCTAGAGTCTCAACCGGTTGCTGTTCTGGCTCGACCTTTGTGGCTACGGGAGCTGGCGCGTCGAATGGGTGCACTGCGAGGGGCGCGAAGTTGCGGTCGTACGTATTCGGTGTCCGGCCTTCCTTCTCCCACTGTTCCTGCATGATCTTTTTGGCGACGGTCGGAATCATCTGTTGGTCTGGTGGAAGGCGAGGATCGGGCTTGTACATGGTTGCCAACCACGGCGGATCTCCTTCAGGCCGGTTAACAGCTACTGGAGAACGATTTTCACCTGGCCGGGTGGTAGGGCGCTGCATGTTGTTCCCGGAGACAGCACGAGATCGAGGAGCGCTCGCCTTCCTGTTCGTGGATGGAGCAGGGGTCTTTCGGTTGGTAGCGCCTGTGCTCTTGACTGTCTTCTTGCCCGGGGGGCTCTGTGCACTGCCTAATCCACAGCTGTCTGGTCGGCTTTCTGGAGAAGGAGTCGAACGATATTTCTCAATGTCGATATGCCCACTGGCTCTGCGGCCGTGTGACGGCCGTTCATCTTCATCTGTTGCGGCACGGTTCTGTGAACTGCGAGAATCGCGGCCCATTGCGCCAGAGATGGGAACCGGACTGACTGTAGAGATGGGTATTCGGGAGGCGCTTTTTCCAAGGCTTGGCTGGCTGTAGATGCTGGCGGCTGCGTCATCTGCGGCAATCTCCTCTGGTCGGCGGAGATCCCAATGCTCCCGCACATTGCCATCTACGTTACCAGTTACATCCCGCTTGCCGGGTTCTTCTTTCACTTTCGGCCAGGGTTCGGAGTATTCTGTCGTGGGTGAGGTCGGAGTACCAGTCCCATTAGCAGTCTGCTGCATATCATGGCTCCTCCCACGTCCCACGCTCGATTTGCTTTCTCCTCTCATTCGTCGCTGGAAGAGAATGGTTGCCTGGTGGAGCTCCTCACTCTCAATCTTCGCCAGCTTGTCTCGGTGAATCCATTGTTCCTGATTCGTCTGTCCATCCAGGTGTAATTTGGGGCCATCATCACCTTCCTCGGACTCTTTGCGACCAGCTCCCTCGAGACCCAAAGCATCTCGCACACGGCTTGCTTCACTCCCACGTCGGTTGAGACTGGGTTCCTTCCGTCCTCGGGTTGAGGCTAAGTAGGGCGGTTCATGTGCGTAGGCATTGCGCGAGACCGAGGAGCTGCGTGAGCCGTTCGAGGCACGCTGCCGAGAAAACTTTGCGCGGGTGGAGTTCGAGTCATGCGAGTTGCGTCGTTTCGATGAGTGGTAACTTTCCTGCGGGTCAAAGGGGGATCAGCGCTTTTTAGTTCCTTTCCAGTTCTTGAGCTACCAGGTTAGAGACTGGAATGCCACATGGAGTAATCTTACCTCGTCCACAAGTGGCACCGCAAAATCCCATGGCGAGCCATCCACAGGCGATGCTAAGGCATCTGCAGAATATGCCGTAGCGACGCCCGCCATTCCAGAGGTTACTGTTCACAATTTAGAAAGGCCAGTCCAGCTGTAACCCGGTTCAAGAGTCGAGATTGCCGTGGAAATGGGTTGTCGGATCAAGCCATTCCAGGTAGAGTCGGCAAGTGGAGTGTAAGGGGGTCTACCGAAAGCAGCAAATTATCAACAGACACCCTTATTGACTACAACTGCAGGGGGTGTATTTTTCCCAGGTTGTCAAGCTTGGTTCAATGAGTGAGAGCTGCTGGCGGGGGGAGGCTGGGTCCGAGGGCTTTCCGAGGTCTCGCGGGGTCCGAGTTGAATGTTGAGACAAGGGAAGTATACCAATATGGTAAGGTAGATTGAGAGGCTCGAGATTAGAGAAGAGAAGGTAGAGAAGAGAAGATCACAGGGCAAAAAAAAAAAGAGGGAAACCCTACGGTGAGTCGTGGAAGAGAGGTAGCCAGAGTGGGAATAGTACTGGAAATGGTCTGAACCAAGTCCACTCGGTGCAGCGTACTTCGTACATACACATCGATTTACGGAATACACACTCTGGGTATTTGTGAATACATAATCCCATACATGGATCATACGTCTATCTCACAGATTATTCAATAATCGTTCTATGTGTTCGATAGACCTATGTTTCCAGAAAAAATCCGAGGATTCTCGCACCTTTTAAGGCCGTGCATTGCCCCTGAACCATGTTGATCACCCCGAGATGCCGCTAAATTGATCTTGACAGCAACGGTGAAAATGCGAAAATACGGGAGTATTTCTTCCTCTCCCACTTGGTGTATACCTACAACATGACCCCAAGGGGAGAGAGATTGGAGCGAGGGGAAATGAATGGGGATACTCCGTACTCCGTACATGCCGGCAAATCATTCTGACAGGTTTAATCTTAATTTAGTCTTTTGGGGAAATCGCAAAGTGGATACATCGCAAATACGCCAATCCCTCCATGCAAAGAAACCCCCCGGGGATGTTGATAGGTTCCAGAAGATGGAAAGATGGAAATATGGAAATATGGCCCAATAGAACAACCCCTCGGTATGAGATTGATACATGTCTACGTATATCCGTCACCCAATTTCAAATCCCATACACAGCGAAATGGGGAGCCGAGTTAGGCAACTGATGAGCTATGTTACAGCTATGCAATTCTATCCAGCTCGCCGAGGACCACCTGCGTATCCTTGATGAGGGCCCGGCGTGCACTGCGAGCCATCTCATCACCATTAGGCTCGATCCCATCCGCCTTCAACTGGATTTGTGCGACGATCGTCTCAGCCAATTTCTTATGTTCATAATCCCGCTTCTTTGGATCGGTGGGCGGGTTCGCAATGTATTCCTCACAAAGTGGCTTCATCTCCTGCTCAAACCATCCGGCCAAAGCAGTGACCTGTTCCAGCGGTGTACGCAGCAACTTAAGGTTGGGCGGCGGGGCGGGAACGCCTGAGTGGCCTGACGACGTAGGCCGTGGCGGCCGAGATGAACCGGGGTCTTCTACGCCGACAGGTGACTTCTTGCCATTGCGTTTCTTCTTTTTCGAGTTCTTGCTCTTTCCACTCGTCGGTGTGGGAGGGGACGATGCGTCTCCTGCACTAGTGGGACGGGGGAGCGGCGGCGGTGATGGCGCCGACGTAGTTACAGGACTGTTTTGTCCGTTGTCGTCGGAGGATCCCGCTCCTGTTTCGGATACCACGCATAGCACCTCGGAGTGCTGCTTGAGCCCCTCGGCTTTGCATGTCCGCGCATTGTTCTTGAGTAGCTTTCCCTTGTATAGCAGTCTCACACATTCCGGATGGCCGGCTCCTGTGCTCTTGGCAGCAGCCTCCCGTAGGTCTCCGATGGTCAAGATACCGTCGTCGATCGCGTATGCGCGGAAGCGCAAAGGGTAGATGGTGCCACGGTGGCGGAGGGCAATGATATCGGGCTCAGTATCATCTACCGGCGGGTCGGCGATGTCTGAGGGTGTGATATAGCTGAAGTCTCCATCGTTAACCTGCGGGTTGGATGCGGGAGCGTAACTCGGCGTGCGGCGAAGTAATTTAAAGGGGTTGCGCCAACTCATCACGGCGACAGTGAACAGGCAGGCAGCAACAGCTGCAAACAGGGCGATGGACTGGTTGTCTGGGGCAAATGGCAGCTTTCGCGCGAGAGGACCGAGGGACGTGTTGGAAAAATAGGTGAGAATAGTGTCCAGTTGATGGCGGAGGGAACGTAAGTGAATAGGGAGGACGTCGGTGACCTGGTCTATGTATACTACGCACTTCTCGCCCAAGGTGGACTGAGCGAGGATTGGGGGCAGTAAAGTCATGGATCTCTGTGAAGGGGAGGAGGGAGCAGACGGAAGTCGAAGCCATGCCCCCCAGGTTGTCCGGAGTAGGCAGATAAGGCGGAGAGCACTTTTTTTGCCATCGCATGGAGCAATTGGTGTGCTCAGAACAAAGGTGTGCCTGCCCAGTAGATCGCCTGATTTCAAATCGAATCTTTGGGTGTGGGAATCATGGTGGCAATTGGAATGATTGAGATAAATGGAAACATGCCTTGTGTACCGCGAGGCTGCCTGGAGTGTGGCGATGCTTGAATGCTTGAAGCCTGAGGCATATGTGCAGACATGTAACACGATTCTACTATCCTGTACCTGTTATTTTATTTCCCGGTGGCCTAAGGTGTTCAAGTGCCTTTTTTTTTGATACATCAATGTACATAGCTCCTCATTCGTTGTAATATGGAGGCGCTTTTGCGTTGATTTACCCAGTTTGACCTCAACCGGCGTACGTCCCGGGGTCATCCAACTCCCCACTTCCTTCGATACGTGTGTCAAAACATCGGCCACATTCAATGTTGCGCGGAACAATCATCTACACAATTGAAGCCTTTCCTACTGTTTCCTGTTGTCTGCCCAGAAGTATTGAGAGGAGAGAGGACGAGGATGACTTCAAAAAAAACTGCCAAAAGACTTATCCAAAAAAAAAGTTTACATCACAAGGCCGCAAAAGCGGTCGAGTGTACACTAGCCCTTGCCTACAGGACAGACTCATGACAATACCTGTATTGTCCTCATACTCACAAAGATGGCTGAGCTCTTTTCAATCAACTATGTGAACTCCATAGAATAGTTGTCATGAACAAGGATCGGCATAAGAACTCGAGGCAGACAAGCTAGCGCAACACACAAAAAGGCTTGAGCCTCACGCTCAGCAAAAGTATATTGTTCGTAGCGCCGAGCTAGACCAATAGGCGGACATCAAGAGGGATTGAACAGCCCGATCCCACGCCATGCCGAAGCTGTAGTCCGATCCAATCAGCAAGAGTCACCTACCGCTGGCATCAATGATAGCATGGTCATGCAATTTGGACGTGACTCAAAGAAGAGACCGGGGCCGAGGATTGAGAGGATGTTGGAGACCCCGTAGAAGGTCCGTTGAAGCCCACTAGAAGTGGAAGGCGGGTCTTCAGGCAGCGATGATAGCCCTAGTTTCCGTGTGTTTCAGAGGGAGTTGCAGATGCTGTGCACCATACCAAACTGAATGAAGGGGGGATCATGTCATCAAATAGCCTAAACGCAAATATCAGTTCCTTTTTACCGTTGATTGCATTCTTAACCAAATCGCACAGAGCGTCTTCTTGAAACGCGCCTCTCTATATGGCGAAGGTCCAAAAGCAGAAATAGTTGTGGCAGATTCACTAGAGCAGCAAATCTGATCTAAGAGTGGTAAAACCTTGTTTTGTGTCCTCGGCACTGCCATCAATAGGATTTCTGATCTACTCCATCTTAATAAGAATAAAAGTTCAAAAAGTAACCTTCCAAGGTTTTCTGTCCATCCGATTTTGACGAGCATGGCTTACAGCAAAGTTTTGAAAACTGTAGCCATTCCAGCTCTTACTATCCATCACAGTCTGAAATGGCTCAGTGGTTGCCTTCGTGGTCTAGTTTGGTCATGACGTCGGTCTCATATCCTTTCATATGACATTCTTGGAAACAAGATTGACATCCGAAGGTCTCCAGTTCGATCCTGGACGAGGGCACAATTTTTTTCAATTTCAGGTTTAATTCCTGTATGGGATTAAAACGCCAATGCCGTAAGATTGTCGCCTAAATGACTCGCTATTTGCTATCGACCGGTCTTCGACCTTAGAATTTCCACTCTACTCGTCACCAATTTAATAGCACTTAGCCAGACCTATGTTATATAGGTTAAAACACGAATGATCAACTTTCACTTGCTTAGTTCTGCGACGTACACTACTGTTACGGACCTATCCGTCACCAACCAGTAGTGACCCACAAGGCACACCGATGGGCCACCGAGAGCCAACCAATCAATCAGTCAGCATTCACGTGCGGTACGACCGGCAGAAAGGGAAGGACTGCAGGAAGGCAGCCACTTTCGGCCTGCGACAAGCAAATGGCAATTCTACTCTATGAGAACTTGGAGTCCCCTTGACCGCCCGGATCACGTGACCATGGCCCCTACCGATGCCAAGCAAGAGTAGGAAGTCACCGTGACTCCAGTAGATATATGTTGTACTCCAGGGAGTATATCTCAGGGAGTAGGAACGAAGGATATAGAAGGACACTCCCTCATGTACTTAGTTTAGTTCTTCGTCTTCAATCATACATTGTTACTTGTGTTTACCTTTGGACTATGTTGACTCATTAACTATATTATCACTTGACAGCACCTACGATCAGACCAATACCGCGGTATAGATCTACTCGGCGCTCTACCTGGCATCGTTCCTCGATACCCTCAAAAGGACTTAGGCTGGAATAAGACTGTGCGCAGCAACAGCTCGGTTGAGAGGCAGATCGTTGACGTTGGAGGATCAGCACAGGCAAGTATAACCAGGAAAGCTTCTAACATAATTGTGACCAGTTAGGCAGTGCGTAACAACTACGTATCTTTCTTAAACACTCTATGGAGGTACTGGAGGTATATCTTAGGGAATTATATAAAACCCAGGTGATTCTTATTAAATGCGAAAATGGGCATCAATCTACATATCTACACTTCTTCTAGGTTCTGTTGTGCCTACTAGGTGACTATAGTACCTTAAGTTCGAGTTCCAGGTCTAGATTTTCGTAAAGATACAAGGTGGCCGAAGTAAAAGTGTTTTCTAGCCTAGGGTAGTAAAGGATATGCCGATTGGCCTTAGTACGACTATCGCTAGGTAGACTTCCGCAAAGCTCGAAAAGCTCGAAAAGCTCAAAAAGCCCGAAACCCGACCCGACTCGACCCTCAAAAGGGTCGGGTTTCGG